AGTTGAAATACCCGGACAGACGAACACACACACACACACACAAACATACACACACACACACGCACACACTGACAGGGTCGTTGCAATTTGCGTTTTTGCTGCCTGCTGCAGCGCTCTAGCGCTGCACGGCAAAAACGCATAATGACTAACAGTCGTGGTGGGCAGTCTCAATTCTTTTAACTAGAAGCATCTGCCGGAAAGAAAGTGCCACTGGCGAAAAAAACTGCGGGGGGAACTGTGCAAAAAACGCATCCTCGCACCGGCAGCCAATGCGCTGTCGACTAGGTTTGTATATATTTTTGCTTATATGTAAATGCAAAAACATACTGGCAAGAGACTGTTTGTGTGTTCGCACATTTTCTCACCCATTTTCAACTCGAGGAGTAGAAAAGCTAGGAAGCTGAAATTTCGGGAGTATGTGCTCACATCATGTGCAGTCCTCCCGTTTTAATTTCATCACCAGCGTATGCCAGGTCCCACGCACGACGCTTAAGAAATATGCAAATTTCTGACGGGAAAGCGAACTTGGGAACCAGACAAGATAGAGTTGGCACTTTTTAGGGATATTTCCTGTGCAAATGTGAGCTAAAGAATACAAACTCAGCTCCAAAATGTTCACGGTTGTGAGACCGGCACGTGAAATATATGGCTGGGAAACCGCTAACTCTATAATCAGAAAGGCCGTAAGGCTGAAATTTTAAGGGAGTGTTTTCTGTCCGCGTACAATTTGAAAATTTCAAATTCACCCAGGATACGTATGATGTTCACGCATGGGCATGTGAAGTTTTGGCAGGGAAATTGTTAACTCGGGAACCAGATAAGCTAGATAGCTGAAATTTTAGAAGAATGTTTCCTGCCCAAGTACAGCTCAAAAATATCAAATTCAGCCTGTAAATATGGTGGCTTTCGCGCATGGGCACTTAAATTTTTGGTGGGAAAATTGCTCACTTAAAAGCTAGGTCATTTCCAAAGAAAAACAGCTAAACGGAAATTGTTCATTTTTCTCAATGTAAAATTTACGATGATTTACGACAGTGAGCGCATACGGCAAGTGTAATGCAGTAACCATATACGCAGCTAACGACTAGATTACTTCAAGTTTGATATGAAAATGCATGATCGCACCGACAAGCCTGATGCGCTCCAGCCTGGGTTTTTTTTTTTTACTATCAGCGCATAAACGTAAACAATATTTAAAATCGAGATTCGCTCGAGTCAGGTGATAGAACATTAAATAAAGCAAAGGAAAGAAAACTGAGGGAGTTAAACCATTTATTTCAGATCCGCCTTAAATATTTAGAAAAGAAAATTTCGAGTTTCTAGCAAATTTTGTGATGCGTTTTTATTAGCCCAGTTTTGAATTAGGAATAAAGAATAGTTAGAAAGCTACGACGCATTATGCTACGGAACGTGTGCTAAGTTTTGTCCAATCATCGCGCAAGTCATTTTTTATGCGTTTTTTGCAGCTATGCAATGCAGGAAACGTATATTGACGAGAGGTTGTCTCTGTGTCCGTGTGTCTGTGTGTGAGTCTGTATCGATTTTTCATCTCAAGACCTATAAAAGCTACAGGGCTGAAATTTTAGGAACTTAATCTGCACGCATTTACGGGCCCCAATCCCCAAAATGAGTACCCGTGTGGTACTCACGTGCGAGCCCACCAAAGTTTTTTACGGGTAAGCTGCTAACTCGGAAACCAGAAATGCCGGAAGGCTGAAACTTTAAGGAGAAGTTCCCCGTCCAAGTAGGTATTAATGAGCTCAAACCCAGCCTCCAGGTATATGTGGCAACTACGTACGGGCCCGCCAAAATTTTTTTTCGGGTAATTTGCTAACTCGAGAATTTGAAAAGCTAGAAGACTGTAATTTTAAGAGGACACT